GGAAACTATAAGGTAGGTTTAAGTAAATATGTAAAACTATAAGGTGTGTAGGAATGGCAACGGGTGGGGATCATATTCCCTATCCCCGACCCCGATTCTAAAATTAACCCCCATCAACGATCCCCGACAAGGATGGGTTCTCCATGGGGACCCGAATCCCCAAAATGTTTTCAGATAATAGTATTTTTTAAATAAATTTATTTAAAATAAATAAATATTTTAAATTATAAATAATGTTTTAAATATGTTTTGATATATATAATATAAAAATATAATATTATATTTAATATAATTAACATTTAATATATATATATAATCGGGGTTGGGGCGGTGTGGGGACCTCAATCCCCATCCCCGACCCCAACTGGGGATTCCTATTAAATGTATACATAATATTATTAAAAGTTTTCCGTTAAATAGCAAAACAAAATAAATGTATACATAATCATTGAAAATACATTTATCACAAAAAACAATAAATAATTACTGAAATACAATAAATATTAATTTTAATATATAATTATATAATAAACACAGATTAAGAGTTTAAAATTATCATAAATAAATATTATTTTTTGAAAGTTATTTTCTCGAATTATTACTTGATATAATTGAAATTAGTTATTGACAATATTATATAAAAATATTAAATTATTATTAATTTCAATATTATATTATAATTATTTTTCTAATTTTCAGGATTTTATTTAAAATTTATTACATAATTTCTTTATTTTAAGTATTTAAAATCTAGTTATGTTAAATATTTTGTTATTAAAATATTTATTTATTTAAATACTTAAATAATATGTAAAATATTTAAAGTTTAAAGTATTAATTATTTATTGAATTTAATTATCCATGAAATCATTATTATACTATTATTACATAATTTATTTATTAATTTTGTAATATATTAAATTATTATTAATTTCAATATTATGTTATAATTATTTTTCTACTTTGAAGAATTTTTTTAAAAATTTATTATATAATTTCGTTATTTTAACTATTTAAAATATAGTTATGATAAATATTTAATTTTTTATTTATTTAAATCTCTTACATATTATTAAATATTTGAAAAACATTTAAATTGATAATCCGGAAAAACATAATTTAAATTGTTAATACATAATTTCATGATATATTTTGTAAAAATATAAAATTATTTTTTATGTTTTTAACAAATATTTTAAAGTTATTATATAATTTTATTACAATATTTAAATAATTCTTAAATTGTTTTAATCTAAACTTTCTTTAGATAGATATAGATAAAAAGTAGGGGAGAGGATAAATAGAAATTAGAGATAATTTTAGAAAAAGTGGGGAAGGTAGTGTAGGAGAAATTTCAGGAAAGAGATTATTTAGCTTATTTGAAAAATGCATCTCATTGGTTGTTTCAAAAATGATATAGAATAAAAAAATTAAAAATAAATAAAAAAAAATTCTTAACTGTTTTATTTTAATATATATATAAGTCATCACTCCATCACTCATCACCCGTCCGTTGCCTTCATTCTTGAAAGAGTAGCTCTGCAACTGAAATGGCTGTGCTTCCTCCTTATTGTAGGTTGGCAACTGGCAAGTGCTTTTGATTTGTGATTTTTGATTTTTGAATGGTGGGGACCGGTCCAAGAAGTTTGCACCTCGAAAATCATGTCAATTTTGTTTGGTGCAAGAACAGAACCCAGTCCACCCGTCAGTCAGTCAGTCCCCATAAAAAATGGTCAAATTACTTTTTTAAACTTTGCTCTGTTGTTGGTTTTTAAGTAAACTGTTCGTTTTGGGGAAAGTGGGAAATTATGCTAAAGATTCAACAGGAACAACCCCAAGACAACATGTGATGGGCTCCATCCCTCTCAATATATTATAAATATCTTCAAAAGTAATCCAAATCCGATGTACAAAATTTCTTGCCAATCAAACTTCAAACCCTGTGATAGGCCCAACCCAACGATAACACTCCACACCAGTGAGAAAATACATGGGACCTACACTGATAGGTTGAATGATTGTAGGGTCTATGTATTTTAGGACTGGTGTGGAATGTTATTATTGGTTTCACAGCCTGCTGAACGCAACGCGTATCTCATTAAAATCACATTGTATTTACCGGAAACTGAATCAAGTGCGTTAGTGCAACAGATACAAATTAGGCCCTAATAGTGAAGCCGTAGTTGAAACTTCAAGCCCAATTACCGAAACCTACAATAGCAATAGCAGCCATGGTTTTGAAAACCGGACCAGCCAGATGGTCATACCAGTTGATTCAAGAATCAGTCAGGTAATTGATTCCGTTTCACCCTAAAACAGTTTTTTTGCCTAAAAACCGTTAATTTAGTCAATCATCTGTAGACTCAAACAGTCAAACCATTAATCCAGATAATGGTTTTGACCATTTTTTATTTTTTTTATTTATTTAAATCAGAACGAACCATCCATTCAAACTAGATGATCAGACCGTTTGACCCGAAAACCAGTCCAGTTTTTAAAACCTTGATAACAGCATATTTCGTAGGTGGGTTGAATTTATGATGCCGGAAAGATACATTATACCTGAAACCAACCAAAGCCCTGCATCAATTTTGATAAATACCACGATAGATTACCACTCTATATGGATAGAGTTAATTTGTCATGAGTTTTGTTTCATATCTTTCCGCTTTCATAATAATACTGATTATATGTTCTATCAATGGTGAACATTCAAATACGCTTGTGTTCAAAATTGAAGGAGACAAAAATTATTCGCACAAACCCCACAATTTGTGCTTCTAACAAGGAAATGGGATCGGCCGAATGCAATGGCTGTGTGGAGGGCTGTAGAAGTGTAGAATCAGTGACAAATTGACATTTGAATGTGGCTCACAACCACCTAGTATTTATGGCCGGCTGGAGCCGTGTTTTTGGTTCTGCAGCTAGTTACATAGCTATTGTGTTCGGTTCAACGTGGTAAAAAGTAAAAACCGACCTTGTTGGAGGCTTAATTATTTTAGTATTTTTGCCTTCAGATCACCGGTCACCGGTTTGACCATTCGAATTAAATGAGTTAAAGCGGATTTTAGGAAAACCGGACCTATAGGTTTGAGTCGTTTGAAAGTCCAGATCTTCGACAGGTTGAAAACATTGATTCAGCTGATCTGAATTTTCTCAGTAAAAGACCATTTGGGTCAACAAAAAACGTTGTGAAATAACTATTTTTAGCATCAAACTCTACAATTTATCAACAAGGGAGGCACGGCATAATGTCACAAAGATTATTAGTTTAGCAAAATCTATGCTAGCCTTTCCTCCTCAGACCGTATACGTGGCATAATTTCATTGGGTTTGGAAAATTAGGTGTAAGTGTTAATTAGTCCAATGGCGCCACCGACATGAAGACTGAAGACCAAAAAGGGAGGTGAGAGAAAGAGAGCGACGGTGAGAAGGACGAAGAGTTCGCGTCGTCGTCTCCATCTCTCTCTCTCTCTCACACACAGGTGACAGGAAACGGCAAAAGTCGATGTAATTCCAGGTTGGTTCATGGATGATAACAGAGTGAAGTATCAAGATTAGAGAATCCAATAAATGTTTCACGAAGGTGATCGGACGGTCAAACGAGCCCCAACCAGCAAACAATTCATAAATGTGGACCAAGTAGGGGCAAGGGCCCATGGCCCAGTCCTGGAGCTGGATATGGTGGTTGAGTTGCAGTAACGTGCGTGCAATGTTCCTTCTCTGTCAGCCGTCACCCACCCACCCACCTTTTACCAATTGCAAGGACGTAACCCCAACACGACACCCCTTTGGCCTTAGCTTCATGAGAACTCACAAGGATTGATTCCGGAATATTCTGTTTTTTTTAATTTGTAAGTTGGGAACTTGGAACAATTTGCAAAGGATTGGGTTTGTCTGGCTGTGCCTGAGCCCGCCGTCTTGACCCAATGATTATTCAATTTAGGATAATTCTCATACCATCTCCCTTCCACCAAAGGGATTCACCTCTCTCTCTCTCTCTTTCTCTCATCAATTTGTTTGGCCCGAGTTGGCATTTGACACTGCTAACTTAAAATATGGCGCCACCAGTGCCTTCAAAGCTGCTTCTAGTATTAGTTAATATTATGGTGTGATCTAAGAAAATTAATTATCTACTGGTCATTATATCACAGAGATTGCAATTCATGGATTTTGGCCCCACACCTCCTAATTGGAGGGGGTGCAAAGTGCCCATCTCAACTAATGGGTCTTCTGCTGACCACAACACATTGCTGGCCACACTCACCTAGTCACACGTTGGTATTATCGGTGATATAAAGAAACAGGAGATGTTCCTATTTCCTAATATGCAGGAACATCCATTGTGCAACAGCAAATTGGGAAATAAAAGTTCAACCCCATTTTATCTAATCCATTAGACTTGAGAGCAAGAAAAAAAAAAAAAAAGATTTATCTCAAGTTTCTTTTTATCTCAACGATTCAAAGAGAGAAGTGATAGTAGTTATCAATTTATTAATTGGATTGGTTTAATGTGGGGAAAAACCATTCAAGGTCATAGGTTACCATCCAAGTTCTAACCGCCTTGAATTTCTTCCTTGGTACTGAAATAGTAAGCACCCCCAACCCTAATCCTCTATTGTGCTAATCTAAGATGGTGCATGTGTATCACAATTGGACCAGCACTGAGAGAAGGCAACAAAATGCATCAAAAATTAAACAATACCGCCAATGAAGTTCTCCATTGTTTGGAAGAAAAGTTTACCGTCCTAGACGCTTATTAGGGTTGCACTAGTTTCAAGGGAGTAAAGCTTAAAAAGACCATCAACATCTTATGCGGTTACGCCCCAAGGCTTCATCCTATCTCATCTCCTCGTACCCACCCCAACCTCCCTACTAACCACCGCTAACGATTTCTAAGTTGGCTCTAACCGGATAAAGTGCTCTCCTCATTTCATGTTACTCCGCCTTAATGATTCTTGCCATGTTGCCAGCCATTGACAACTCACACTCACCAAACATTTGGAGAAAGAAAAAACAAGATATTATCCAAGGTGTTGGATTCATTGAATTCAATAAACCATGGATATTTTCAGGACTCACCCTCTTTTTATCTAATCTGTGACAGTGAGACCTAAAAATTAATGGTCCTCATGTACCCAGAGCCGTTGTTTTACATATAGGGCATAAATTCTTATGCATTAGCCATTGCTTAATGCAAGCTGTGTGAAAGTCGTGTCCGCAATCCAGTGTCCCTAAATCTTCACCGCCGACATATTCTTCCTGAAATAACAACGGTCAGGTTTAACATCAGCTAAATAAACCAAATGGAGAGAACACAAACAAACACTTAAATCAACCCTCACCTGACAGATACAGCATGGCTCAACCTCTGAAGGAGTTACAATTGTCATAGATAAATACTTTCGCTGCTTCAGACACTTCAAAATGGTTTCTTCACTTAACCCAGTGCTCACATTGCCAATACGCTCTTCCAATGCCAATAATTCCTGAGATTCCACTTCTTGAGTTAAGAAACCTCCACTTATGAATAACAGCTAAATAGTAGCTCAAGGATCTTTTTAATATTTATTCCTATTGTTTCCATATACCTCATAAGACATGTTATCAACATCAAGCCGCATATCTCTGTGCCTATCATGCAAATCAGCCACTCCATAAAATACCGACTGGTCAAGGATCAAAACATCCTGGAACATCGTAAAAGCATATCTGAGTGAAATAGGAAGACATATTTTTTAGCACCTACGAAAGGAGTAGACACTAGACAGTGATAGATGAAAAGAAACAAGGGCTAGTATTCATTTCACAGTTGAAATGACGAAATATAGTTTGACCAGTTTATTGGATGTATTACTCAAAACGGTTTTATAAGAGGTCCAACTGCAACTTGGGCAGGCTTGGGTAGGGTTGTTGTCAAATTTTAAATCGGGCCAGCCTGAACCGCTGAAGCCCAAAGCAGTGTAAAATGTTACTTGGGCCAATCTGAGATGCAGAAAGCCAACAAGCATTCAAGCATTCAAGCATTGAAGAATCATAAGCACACCATTCTGAGATGCATTGAAGAATCATAAGCCAACAATCTGAGATGCAGAAAGCCAACAAGCATTCAGCATTCAAGCATTGAAGAATCATAAGCACACCATAAGAGTTCAATCTAACCTCAAATCTTAAGCCCTCACCCCTACGAACAAGGTCTAAGACGCTGCGTAACTGCTGCAGAAAATGAAGGAAATGTCAGTTCCAATTCAATGCTTTTATTACCAAAAATAAACAAATCCAACAAGCATCTCCTAAATGTAGATCATTTCCAGTCACAGACTTCATCCCACCAAATCCTGTGCAGCATGGCAAAATTCTTTGGATGCTTACAAGCATTCAAAACACAATCACAAATAAAAGGATCTTAAGATTAGTAGAATTCAGAAGAATCCCCTCTAGACTCGTTGCCTTGGTTCCTTCAGTAAGATGGCCCTAACCTACCTAAGCCAAAACAAAACAAAAGTATTGACAGCTTCTACAAAATATATCAAAGAACTTGGAATTTAAGCAAACAGTGCTACCAAGTCACCAGGACAAATTGAATTTTCAAGTTGATATAACACATTTGGTCCCAGTGATTAATTGCTCCACACAACCGATCAATTCTCCTTTTCTGATGCCCTTCAGAGAAAGGATTTAAGCCTCAATATAGCTCCTCCTATCTTCATATTCGGCAGCAAAGACTTAATTAGAAAACAATGATGATGGACCAAACTGTGCCCAACCATACCTCTCAACATAAAAGTTATTATAGAGACTGTGGCCCCCCTTCTTATGCCCATGAAAATATAAACAGTTTCTGGCATTGGGTAAACAGGCAAAAACTTTGCTGTATGATCAGAATCCTTGCTTGGCTGTCATCAACCCCACTACCTCTCCAAACCAGTATTTTAAAGGCACAAGGGACATTTTGTGCCTGAGGTGCGAGGCACAAGGCAAGGTGCGCACATTTTCAAAGCAAAGCATAAAACTACAAAAAAGAAAAGCTAAAAAATTTTTAAAAATGCAAAAAATAAAAATAAAAATGCCATAAATTCAAAAAAAAAAGTTCAAAAACAAATAAAAATATAATAAATGTTTAAAAAACCTACTATCTCGGATTAAAATCATGTAAACCATATTTAAAATGAAAATCATAACATGTAAAACGTATTCAAGCATGTAAAACTCTTAATCTCTTTTCTTTTCTTTTTCTTTTTTTTGCAGTTGAACAAGATATCCTAAATGTGGTTGAAACCAGGAATCATTTCTTTTTTCACTAAACAACCCAAACACCTAAGCATCCTAGTCAGTTAATCAGTTCCTCAGGCCAATTAACAAGCAATTTACCTAACCTTCAAATCAATTAAAAAGCAGCAAGTTAGCAACACGGGGTGATGATTCATTCAGACATTTCCTTCATTTCTGGTAGTACAGTATAATTAGTAATAATGCACCCATGCTGATATTTGCAAGTAAAAAAAACCATACTTGTGTGCTGTGCTCAAGTCAGTGAAATTCAATTTCATGCTATGACCCCAAATACCTGTACAAAGGGGTCATGTTGTATAGGATACTTTTATTTTTAGTGTAAATTGTGTATCTGCCATAGTTTTCAAGGAGCCAAGGCGAGGCTAGGCGACAGGGGGGCGCCTTGTCGCCTAGGCGATGGATTTTTTTTTATGTAGAAAACATAGATCCTAGGGTAGTTCCCTAGGTACCATAGTCGTATTTCCTTAATAATTATTCATAATTTTCATAAGAAAAGTATAGAGATCATGTTAAAGCATAGAAAATCAACATATTCATAAGAAGAAAAATAAGGAAAAGCAAATTCAAAAAATATAGGGGCTGAGCCCTTATTTTTGTTATAGGAAAAGAAGAAAAGAAAAAGTAGTAGTAGAAAATGTGTTGATTAGATAAAATTTTAAGTTCTTCCTTATTGGTTCAGGTTTTAAAGTCTTTGAGGGTTTAATACAGCATTTAGCAATGTTTGCATTGACTAAACCCTAACAAATAAGAAAATAATAAAAAGAAATTAGTATATAAACACACAAAATAAATATTTTAGTTTAATAGTACCTATTTTATAATTATAATGTCAAAAAATAAAGAATAAAAAACTATTTTACAATACATAGTACAAAAATGCTTGGCGATTAGGCAAGGCGAGCCCCAAAGGGCGCCTTGTTGCCTAGGCGTCACCTTGACAACTATGGTATCAGCTACCATACTGCAGCCATGTCCTTGCATTATCTGGGCAATGTAGATTCCAACCACAGTGCCAATTCTTGTTACTATATTTATAGTCAACAACCTTGCTACTATTGTAACTTCATTGGCTTCACTTTTGTGTATAAATTTTATGCAAATAATTTTCTGCCTTGACATTCATAACATCGATTGTGCTAGAGAAGTTCAAAAGAATCAGCAATCTTCAAAAGCAGCCACTTCAATGGGACCTGAAAATGCCCCAACATGTTCCCCTTGTCACCCTCTATCCATGCACAAGTTTCAGCCCACAAGCTCGAGATATGTCCAAAAAACCCATTTTTTAATGAAAAAACGTGGAAGTTTTATAACTTTAATATCTCTTCAACAAAAGCTCTGATAAATTTCACCAAAGAGGTCAGGCATGTACAAGGGAACCAAATGCAAAACCAATCTAGAGGCCCCCCATCTAATGGGTGCCAGACTGCCAGCGTTTAAATGAATATATCTGATATCAGTTAATAATTACTTTTACTTTATATTAAATTACAATAAAAATTATAGAAAATAACAAAAAGTGATAGTAAATTAGAAAAAAAAAACCAACATCTACATACATCCATATAACTTTATTTAATTTCTTCACAATACAGGATTTATTTATTTATTTCCCCACTAAAAAAAGAGAAAACTATATGCATACACTGATCAAAAAAATAGTATATGCATACATGCATATGGGCTCATATCTACCATGACAAACATTTCAGGACAAAATCAAACTTGCATGTTGCAACAGTACAAAAGTTGTAGAAAAATAAAAACACAGTAATATGGGTGTCTTCAATTGCAAGAAACAGAATTGGTGGTTAAGTTGCAGTAGTACTATTAATTATCAAAAATAATTGTAGTAATGCTATTGTACTGAACCAAGTTTACCATACAATGGGCAGTAGATTCCACCACACATATATGTTACACCAAATGTACAAGTATGAAGTAATGCAAAAAAACAGGCACTCAGCACAGAGAAAATGACTTTGGGGTTACTCAACACCCTAAACCGGATCTCCTATACAAAATATACTACTGACAAAGCCCGCACTTGGATCAAGTACTACCCTTGCAAGGCTGTTTGCCACAGGTACTTCATTATATAGAAACACAATAAATTGAGGTGCTCATTCTGGAATCCAGTACCTTGTCTTCCTGAATTAATAATCCCCTTCAGTACATATTCTCTAACAAGTAAAGATCAATAAAGATCACAAGTCCAAGCCCCAATATCAAAGTTAGAAGCTATGCACTTAAAGTGCCATCTTAACTAGATGGTCCAGAATACAGTCAAAGTTACCTTTTCCATAAGGAAAACCTCGCCGGTTCTCACTATGCAAGAATCACATCACTGGAGCTGTCTCTAAATGCGTCTTCAACAACAAATGGGCCTGGGACACCCAGTAGACATCAATCAAAGTTTAATTTGATGGAGTTCACACCAGAGGGGAAATCGATGTTTGCACTCTTTACCCAAGGTAACAAACATTTGATAATGTTTCTATCTTTCTAAGTTTTCATTAGTTTAAATTATTTTAATCTGTCTTAATCAGTTTACATTTTTTGGTAAGCATCTATTATCATCAATAACCACCTAATGGAACGCAGAGTTTACATAAAAACCAAAATTTGAACATTTGTTTTCTATAACTTGAGAACCTGTTTGCTAGAAATTATCTCACATTGTGGATGCAATAGAACAAGATCCTTTTTGGGGACCAAGAATAAGATCAAAGTGTATGCATTAATTGTAATGGAACAAGAATCAAGTAGAGATTATCAAACAGGACAATTCAATAAAAAAAAAAAATTATAAAACAAAGCAATCCTATGATTTTTCTCTTTTTGACTGATTGGAAGTGAGTCCAGTCATTTATCAAGAGTAATAGATGAACTGTCCCTGAAGTATTTTTTATCAGCAGTCTGTTTCCTCATTTGATGCATCAAGCCAGTAACAATAAGATAGCTAATTAGACTCAATTTCAGAAGAAAATTTTGTGATGTTTGAATACAGAAAATCATGGTATGAGATAACCTTTTCTGATGCATAAAACTACTGCTATGGTAGTCAATAAGAATGATACTGGACTTTGAAACTTGAAAACACCTGTTGATACTTTAAAAGGAATTTTTATACGATGAAATTTCGATTCCAATGTCAGAAAATATAATAAACCAGGCAAGCAGAGAAATTGGCACAAATGTGGCAAAACACCAAAGGTTTTTGAACAAACCTCAGATACTAGCCTACTTCTCCCTTCACTGGCTGCAGCCAAAGTTCGCAATGAAAACGGAACCCCAACAACACCATCACCTTGTCTATCTATCCAGAATGCTGACCTTGGATGTGGCTGATGATGTCCCTGGTGAGTGGATCCAGATAAAGGCACCAACTCTTGTGAAGATGCACCAGGCCCTGAACGCAGTGGTGGGAAATTGCTGCTCTGGCTCCCTGACTCAGAACCAGCAGAAGGAAACAAGGATCGGCGGACAAGTTCAGATAACCTTTGCGGATACTGAGTGGGGAAATTATGATGGACCCAGCTAGGAGGAGATGGATGAGCATTTGAACTTGATCCAATTCGAGAAGTAGAGGCAACATTCCCAGGAAGGCTTGTGCTTCCATTGGATAGACTCCAAGTTGTTGGATCTTGAACCAAATTTCTCATCTCAGTTACGGGTACAAACACAGGGTGTTCTGAAATATTCCTGGCAATGCTTCTTGAGTTTGCTTCTTCTCGTAATGCACTGCCTCTCTCTCCATGAATGGCAGAAGAATTTCCAACCCTTAAATTGGAAGCTCCATTCCATGGGAGGGGGTGCACGTTTCGCGGCAACCCAAGATTATGCATTACATGAGACTGGCCCTGTCCAGTTGCATTGGCTGAAGTAGCTGTATGCCTTGACTCCAAAGAATGACTAAACGGGACAAGTCTAGATGATTGGTGAGGTGACCAGAACTGAGAGCGCCTTATGTTACTCCCTGCTGACAATAGATTAGGCTGTATAGAATCATGTTGGTGTGCTGGATTTGTTCTCAAACGGAAATTTCTATGAGAACTTTCTGCATTTACAGCTGCACTTAAAACAGGATGGCTTTCAGATGCTACTCTCACACCAATACCAATTTCTGGGTTTAACCGTTCTGCTGGATTAACACCAGGAGGGCTCTCCCCAGGTGTAGATATACTCAAGCTGCCACTAGCATTATTATGAGCAGGAACAGCATGCCATGCACTGTTTTCAGCTCGCTGAAAGCAGCTTGGGTTTCCACTTAAGGAAGATGGACCAGAAGCTCCCTCAAGGGCCTTTCTTTTACAGGACAAACGCCGACCATCTAATGAACAACCTGGTCTCTCATCATTCTCTTCTGCCAAATACCCAGAACTTGCAGAAGTACTTCCAAAGGGATCAGCAGGACCACTAGAAGATGGGATTGGCTCATTTTCAAGTCCAGAAGACTTAAACATGTGTGAACATACACCACCTTCCATAACTTGACCACCAATGCTACTGCTTCCTACAAATCCTGCATTCAAGTTTAGATTCTGATGGATATCTTCAGAACTGGAACTCTGCAAAAACATAGACTCATTTGTAGCCTGATTACTATTGAGGTTTATATCAACATTACCAAGAGAAAGAATACCAGTTGTCTCATATCGCCTTTCTTCCAGCCTGGGTCCAGCTCCAGCACGGGAACTAAAGGAAGATGACCAACCATGTTCCATCTTAGTTTCATCACGCAGATTCCGAGTGTTCCCACTTGAGCTAGATTCACCGAGACTCCAGCCACTCAAGCTCTGCCCATCATGACTAACACCATTCCCATATGCAATATTGGTTTCGCTGGGAGATAATATATAATCTGGCAACCGGTTTTCCACTAACATATTATTCCAAAACAGCTGCTGGTCAATGTTGCTGTTACTGGAACTAGACCCATGGTCAAACTCAAAGGCTTCAGGAAAGGAATCCACAGTACTCCTCTGCCCTTGCATCAGAGCCAATTTTATTCAAAGTTCCCAAATTATTAATTGATCACGTACAAAACTTCCTTTTCTTTCAATAATTACGTACAGAGCTTCCTTCAAAGCCCTAGAATCATAAAATCTGCATTAAATATCAAAAAGAGATTGCATTGTTAGTCCTACAACTACAAATCCATTACAAAAGGAGAAGTATAGCAAAGCAACATAATTTCAAGTAAAACCATCTAATAGAAAGACCCACAGAAAAGAGAACAGAAAGATGAAAAGCATGTTTATAGAGTATGTGCTCTTAATATATTGATTAGGGGTGAATATCGTATTTGAAACTACAGAGCTCAAAGCCTTTATAAACAACTTCATGCACACAAAAGATGATTTAAAATTGCAAATAATTTAACAATAAATATGTTATGGGCCCGGGAACAGGATCGCGTCACGGGTCGGTCCATGGGGAAAAGCTCCTGTTTTCCCTTGTTCCTCCCCTTCCTAGCTGAACCTATCTTGGAGTCCTAGAGGGTGATTTGTCCAAGAGATCACCGAACTCTCCTTTTACTCCCTTTCTTGACTGGAAATTTGATATCCTCGTTCAATAATGGGGTCTCCTTAAATAGGAGATTACAAGAGTCCTAATCAAAGGGAGTCTCCTTGCTGAATAGGGAGACTTCCAGTTCTATCTTGCTAAGGATAAGATAAGCTAATCCTAATCTGATAAGCTACTAACAAGATAAGATAAGAGCAATAGAATAAGATAAGAACAAGCAAGATGATCTAATCTAATCTAGATAAGGCTGTTGTTGCCGAACTGGGTAGGATGAGAATCATTGAATCACTGCTGCTGCTGGCGGTGGGTCAGGTGCCTGTTGCTGCCAGTGGCGACGGTACGTTTTCCCAAGGAATGCGTCCATAACAAAATATGGTCACAGTGGACTAACAGTTTACACCTTTCTTCAGCTAGAACTCATAAACCAATAATTCCTCAGCAAATGTGCAGATTGAGATTTGCTGCACCTTTGAGTAAAAGGGATATTTCAGGATAAATGGAGTACTTAAATCATGTTTTCAGGGGAGGACCAGAAAAATGAATCTTCTGACTGGAGAAGGATAATACAAGAACACAATGTCTGGGACATCCTCTGCTTTTCTTCAAGACATAGGTGAGGTTCCATATATTCTTAGAGTACAAGGAATTTTTTTTGCTGGAAATATGGATATTCTCGATAAAGGAGGAGCTTACAAGTACTCAAGATATGATCGAACCTGTACACCTCAAATCACAAGGCTATGTTTGCTTCCAGTGCATAAACAACTATGTAGCATTCAAAAATTCCCTCTGACCAGTTCATGAATACAAACCAGTTTAATTCTGCACTGAGATTTTGTATTCCAACCAAACGGCTTTTGGTTGAAATGAGTCCAAACATGGATTCCAAGATTAAAATCCACCTTTTTTACATTAACCAACTATGAATGCAAAGTTTGTATCCAAAAAAATTTGATACAAACTTTGTATCAATTGTGAGTACAAACATGTTTTGGAAGTTGTGATAGCTGTCATTATCAACATACAAATGCATGCTCGCCAAACGCTTGCAAAACTAAACCAGAGTACATTTATCTATGGAACCAGTTTTTGCACTGCAAACAAATGCAGCCCAAAGAACATTGTTTGCAGTAAGATCCTAGAGCATTATTGAAATCAATGGTCCTCAAGACCAGCCTAAACTAATATTTTGTTTAGTGTTCTTTAAGATTTTCTACATTGGGTGGTGCACTTTACAATTAATGCACTTCTCACTTCTTAACTCCAATGAGTCTTCTAATCTAGGAACAGTGCATCTTGTCTATCTTATTGTTCACCCTTTTAAAAGCACAAGGGCCTTCTAGCACACAAGGCTGAGGCACAAGGTACAAGACATAAGGCAACGCATGCACTTTTTTGAAGCAATGCACAAACTTTTGAAAAACTATTAAAACAGTAATATAAAAAATGCAAAAAAAAAGTAATTAAAAGTCTTAAAAAGCCTGAGGGTGGGCCTTGGCACAACTGTTGGGTCGTTCCATTGCAACCTGGGTGACCAGGGTTCAAATCTTGGAAATAACCTCTCTGTACGTGCAGGGGTAAGGCTGCGTACATCTGTCCCTCCCCAGACCCCACAATCCCACATTGGCAGGAGCCTCATGCACAGGGCTGCCCTCTTACATGTTTTAAAAAACCTATCGACTCAAATTAAAATACATAAGAGTTAACACATAAAACATATCTAAAGTGAAACTGTGTTGGCAAAAGCAAACAAATGTGGATTGTACCAGTCACAGTGCTTTAACCACTCAACAATTCAAGCATATAAAACTTTCAATTTACAGATAGAAAAAGAGTGCATGAGATGATGAACAAAGCAGACTACACACAGGTTACAAAGGCATAGCTCTATCACTGTACAAGTTATCCATGTATAGATCAGATTTTGCTAAACTAGCTGCTACAGAGTTTAATTCCCTAGGAATCTAGCAAATATTTGCAGATAAGGATTTCAACATATCTCTAGCCTCATCCATATAGTGAGCCAATCTCCATGGTTCTCCTTCCTTCTCCCCAAGCCATTTTATCGTGAGTCTCCTTTGATAACTAACTCAGTCAAGCCTAGATTCTTGTAACACACAGTCCCATTAAAGCAGCTAAAATTCCAGCCATTGTGGAGTCTGCAGTCCCAATTGGTCCAATAAAAGCCCACATAGGGCATCCATCCCCCCTCCTAAACACACTACCAATTCCTGCTGCCCCCGGGTTTCAGATTGCACTTCCATCAAAGTACAGAGTCACATCTTTCTCCTCTCCTGATTGGGAGAGGCTTTTCACTCTTGAAGGACTGGGTGAGGAAAATAACAATTCCACCACATTTTGCTGAAGCTATTCAAAGTAATTCCTTTGAAACTCTCTGAATTCAGCACCCACAGATTGCACAAGTTATATGAGAAATCAGGTCGTTTCGTTTTTCCCAAACACCCCAAAGTACTGCTTGAGCCACTGTGAGCTAGTAAATTCTCCCCCTTCAACCTAATCCTCTCCCTTGCCATTTTCTTAAGAAATCTTCAATATTTTCTGGGAAAACCCAGCTGTAACCAACTAGGTTAATAAAGTAAAGCCAGATCTTCCTTATTACTGAACAATGTAAAAGAAGATGTTCAGCCAATTCACCATTACTGAGGCATAGCGTGCAAACATGGGGAGAGATGCCCAACCTTCTTTTCTGCTTCTTCTGTAATAAATCACAGGTGTTTATTCTTTTCAGGCAAGCCTCCCACACAAATAAAGAAACTCTAGGGAGGACTGAGGAGGATGTGAGTTATCCATACTCTTCTACAAGAGAACCCTGAGCTTGTGTCATCCAACACCAAGGCTCTGAAAAAGGAATTAGTTGTGAACTTACCGGCAGGATGGAGCTTCCAGATTCGTTTGCCTTGGTTAACATCTTGCATTCTGAATACTAGGAGATCGGTCATTAACCTCCATAGATGCCCCCCGAGGCAAGTCCAAAGTCCCTGTGAGGGGTCTCAGCCTCTCAGGCAATGCAGTCACACAAAGGATTAAGGATCACACTTTAGTTGTATTGTTGTTGCTTCTTTAGTGGGCAGTTTGCTATTTGAAATCCTATTTGCAAGGACTAAGGGCCTATTCGTTTGCTCTAAAGTCTGACATCTGAAAGTGCAATAATTACATTAAAAGGTATATTGGTATTGGTGAACTTTTCTTTCCTCTGAACTCTGAATGCAAAGAATGTTGTTCTAAACTCTGAATTCTGAATTCTGAAAATTATCAAATATCTATTTTGACCCCATATATTAGAGTTTTTGTTTGTCTTTTTGAGGGGTATCATTGGAAAACAAAAAGTTGTATGATTGCACTTTAAGAAATAAGAGATAAGAGGAAACGAACAACCATTTTTCTCTTAAAGTTAAAAGATTCCTCTTAAGAGATAAGAGTTAAAGAGGAAATGAACAGGCCCTAACACTTCAAGCATTTGAAAGGCCTTTGTTTTTGTTTATCTTAAAAGTAAATAGACCATTACTAGTGTAGAAATAGGAGATAAAAGGTAATTAAGAAGTTGATAACCATTACAAAGGTGTAAACCACATTAACCACAAAAAGGTGTATAATTGCACTTTAAGAGATAAGAGATAAGAGGAAACAAACAACAATTTTTCTCTTAAAGTTAAAAGATTCCTCTTATGAGATAAGAGTTAAGAGGAAACAAACAGGCCCTAACACTTCAAGCATTTGAAAGGTCTTTGTTTTTGTTTACCTTAAAAGTAAATACACCATTACTAGTGTAGAAATAGGAGACAAAAGGTAATTAAGAAGTTGATAACCATTACAAAGGTGTAAACCACATAAGAACATACAGAAAAAAAAAACAACAAAAAAGGCGCATGCTTGGGCCAAGGCACAAAGTACACCAAGCACACTTTTTAAAGGGGTTGCACCTATGTTCAGGTAAAGTGCATGCCTTGAAAATGCACCTCACCTACACACCTAGGTGCATCTGAGACATGCCTTCTAAAACAATGAGAGGGTTAAAGAGTAAGGATGTGGAATTCAAAACCAAGTAATAATATAATATACACGTAGGGAAGACTCAAATAGTTGGAGAATTTAGCAGCTTCAAATCTCATCACTTGGCATGTTGCATTGATAAATTGTAATATGGTCAGAACATTTTAAGAAATACAATCATCTGATGTAAGGCACATGCCTACATGCATGAAGACCAAATTGAACAAAAGCAAGGAAAAACTCAAAATGTGCATAAGTATGTACATGCATAACCCAGAGTCAATACATTTCATTACCCCACTCATCCATACAGAATGTATTCTGACAGCTTAAAAGAGCCGAAACTCAATTCAACTAAAGTCAACCAAACTCAACCTTAATCCCAACTATTTGGGGCCTGCTACATAAAACCTACCCTTCCTCCATGCTCTATCAAGAGTCATGTTTCCTCGCAAAAGACGACTTTAAATATTGTTTTTGAAGTTATCAATTGTAGAATGGATTGTGTAGGACAAATATTCTTGCACTGTAGATCTTGTGTTCACTTCTAGTTTGCTGTACATGTGTGCAATTAATCCAGAAATGCCATAAACAGCTTTTGTTTGTTTTGTTCTACATCACCATAAACCATCTCCAGACCTGGTTTGACAAACCTTTCTCATGGATTCTTGTGTAAGCAACTTGACAATTGAGCTGGAGTTAATAGCAATACATTGACCCATTGCACCCAAAAAAAAATGTAAAACAGATCATTAAAAACAAGTCTATTTGGGTCATAAAAGTTGACAATTATATATCTTTTATGTTTTGAGGTACATTACCATAAAGATCACACATAGGTTTTCCTTTAATTCCTTATGTTCGTGCTTCTTGACTATCATCCCTCTAATTCTTTAAACATGTAAACTTCTTTAGAACTGCCCATTTATATAGCTCTTAATAATGCATGCCCCTTCAGAACTATACCTTTTTTGCAAGTGGTCTTTATTGCGAAATGACAGAACCTACATATGGACCAGCTACAAAACCTAATTCAAGAAACCGTAGCACAATGAATTGCAGAAATACAAATAATTTTCCCACTCTGCCAGACAATTCTAGCAGTGGAAAAGAACGCTACTAGCCAAGGCTTGAAAGAAATCTCCTTAGTCAAGAAAACAGTACATAGTAATTTGGGTCTCGGGGCTCCTAATCCAAACCAGAAGAAAAATGATTACAAGGGAAGCAAGCAAATAAATTTAGAGTTTTCATCAGAAGAACAGACAAAGTTCGAGAATAGGAGAACAGTAAACTGGGTGAAAATATGGTTCCTCATGGATTCTAGTGGTATGACGCGGAAGATAAAAAGATCAAGTCCTCTTTTTTTTTCTCTAACTCGACACGGTCTCCATTCCATTTTGGCATTCCAACTGAACGCAGTCTCTGAGAACCTCTAACTTTCAGTTTTTTTCCAATATGCAAATATAAAAGGTCCTTTCTAGTAACGCCTCGGTCATCCGAGATGAAGAAAATTAATGCATCACCACAAACTTAAATCCTAGACAGGGGAAGAATGCATCCTGCTTGCCAAAACGCAGACTCTACAAAGGGTCAAGAATAACAGATTATGGTCAAGACATTCTACAGTAGCAGACGACCAATCAACGGTAGACAAAGAAACCATCCATGCGTGCATGCAGGAGTAACATCTATATCTTTTGCCTTTCCAAACTGGAAAACATCGTTACATCCACAAATCCAACTGATGAAGACGACAATAATTGAAAAAACGTAATCTCTATAATCGCCAAAGCCGCCCCTTGATATCGCGAAGCCAAAAGCCCCATTCATTCCGGACCAACTAGCACCGATGACAAACAAATCCAGAACGATGTAACATTATCATCAAGCAAAGCGAGTAACGAAGAGATCAAAACCCAGAAAAACTAAAAGAAAAAACTAAATTTGAGAACCCCGAGAAAGAAAGAATAGGAGAAGGAAGACCTCGGTGCAAACCCTAGATGAGTCGAGTTGGTCCATGCTTATCCTCTTCCAATTCCAAGAACAAAGAAAAAAAAAAAAAAAAAAAAAAGAGAAGGAACAAAAAAGACAATTTTTTACACATAACTCCTACTATCACAGAATTATAATCCATTAGTTTGGCAAAAAAACGACCAAACAACCAATGAAGGATCAAAGAGCGTACCTGAGGAACGGAAGCGAAGGAAGATCCAAAGAAAAGATCGATCACCCGATCGGTCAATAGGCTGGTCGGTCGGTCATTTAAATTAAAATAAAAAAGGAATCCTTGAAAAAAACGAAGACATCTCTATGTTCTCTGTGTAAGGGAAGAAAAGCGCCTAAACAAAACCCAGTGATGAAATGAAAGGAACACTATCAAAAGAGAGGAAGAGGAGATGAAGATAGGAGAGGAGAAGGAGAGAGAGAGAGAGAGAGAGAGAGGATGGAAAAGTGAGGTGAGGTGAGGTGAGAAGGGACAGGAGAGAGTAAATAATTAATAAATTGTAATATAAACAAAGAAATGGGAACTCCCCGATATAATCAAATTTCCCTCTGATAGTGCTGAGAGATGTGAAATTTTAGCATTTAGCAATAGCTTAATGCCTTTTGCCTTAATAATAAACAAATAAATAAATCATGATAAAGAAAGGAAGAAAGAAAAAAAACCCACCCCAAGCTTTGTCTTGTTGGGACGCTGACCAATCAGGCTTATTAATAATAGGTGTATAGACACACAGAAAGCACGTCTGTCTCTCTTCCCAGTTGCAAGGCTGAAAAGGTTGTTCGAACGGGATTTGCACCGACTGAAGTCGATCTCTCTTCTCACCCCTTCACCCCATTCATCATTCCATTCTTTCTCGCTCTAAAATTAAATGAAAAAATTAAAAAAAGAAAAAGAAAAAGAAGCGATCCATCTCCCGATGCGCGCCGTAATCCCTCGCTACCCTTGCTCACGCCAAGCTCCTTTCTGCTGCCCGACCCTAGCTTTGTTTTTTTCTTCCCTCTTTGGTCTAAATTTCTGTAGCTCTCTTTCTAAATAAACCAGAGTCGTGGATTTGAATGTGATAGATAAATTAGTCTCAAGCTCCTTTGCTTTTTAGCCTTTTGCTCTGCTTTTCATTCATGCATCTCATTCGTGGGCCTGGGACTTGTTGGGGGATGACGGTAGTAGATACTAGATAGAGGCTTGGCTTGGCTTGGGCGCTTGGCTTGGCTTGGCTTAGATTGGTTTTGCCATTTTATCTTGTTTGTTTCATTTCAAGCCACAAACAAAAACTGGGTTCTCCCTCCTCAGTCCTCTCCTCTCTCGTCATGGCTTCTTCATAAATAACCATTGGCTGGGCCATATGATGGACTGACGACTTGTAGGGGGGGCAATGGTTGACAAACAGAACACCTACTCTAACCAAATACTTGTGCTGGGGTTGTTCGACCAAAATTTATTGTGGGAGTAAATATCTTGAGGCCGAGGGACATTTGTTGTACAGCAACCCAAAAGTTAGTCCAATCCCTTTGCGTGTCTTAACGTATATATATGGTCAGATTAAAAAGAAGGGAAGGATCCTTTGCAACTAATTAGGGATTAGACACGTGGAGACAATCCATTTGATGAGGCGCAGAGGGGTAACTCATTCCCCCATTGAATCACGCTTTCTCTTTCTTTTCTCATTTATTATATAATAAGTAAGATGGGAAAGTAATAAGAAACCCAAAATGGGTGCCCCATTTCATTTGGGAGTTGGGATCCTACCTTAACCTCAGCACCTTAGTCTCTTTTCAGTGGGTTTTCTGAAGTGCTTAAAGATATATCATATATACCACCCACAACCCACAAGGAAGAAAAATGAACGGTGGTAATAGAAGCCAGACATACGGGCTACTGGCTACAGCTAATTGCTTTCAGCCTTTCAGTAGCCAACTAGCCAAGTGGGGGAGTGAGAATCGGTTGTTGCCATTGCCAGACCCGTTCCTTTTTTTATTTGTTTACACTTCTTTTCATAATACAGGCAAACAGACCCTAAAAACCAGACAAGTAGACATGCATCACGGTGTGCCAGGTCAATGCCTAATAGGAAGTTGGGAATCATAAAAAGCATTTATTGTGATTCCAGTCTCTGATTGGACGTCCAATCCACATTGCATACGTTCGAAAATTGAAATCAACACTAAAACGTTGGATCCAACGGAGTTCCTTGCTTGGTTTGTCTGCGTAAAGGAATATAAAATTGTTAGATCACTGAGCTACGGATGATTAGAAAGCAGAAGGCTTTGGTCTTTGGTCGGAGTTCGCTTTCACTGCCTCACGGATCGGCCCAGTGGAATACAAGGAAGGCCACATAACCCATGTCATCATGTGAGGTACTAGATTCTTTCAAACACGGGAGACGTGGCTTCTGATCCACCCTTTCCTACTTCCTGTGCAAAAAGATTTTTCCTTGCATAGGGGTGAAAAAAATAATCGAAAAACCGAACCGATTCAAAAAACTGAACTCAAAAATCAGTTAATCGAATTGGTAAGTTCGGTTTCAGTTCGCTATTTTAAAAAAATCGAAGGTATCGGTTCGGTTTTACTTAACTAATATAGAAAACCGCCAGTTAACCAAATAAATCGATATACATATATTTATTTATTTATAAATTTTATTATATTTTTTTATAATATATATGTACACAAAGTTCGTAGAGCATCTCATCAAGAACAAAAACAATCGCTAGACCTAATGTTAAAAGATTATGATGTCACAACACCTACAATTTTATTCCTCATCGCCCCATCATGAAACCCCAAAGTAAGTTCAATGACAAAAATGCTTATCAATAAGTTCCTATTTTACCGATAAGCAGGGGGGCTAATGTAGGTACACAGTGGTCGCTGAGACCATCAGAGCATAGAAGATGTCGAATTAATACCACACGGATGCTTGCGACGAGTTCACAATTCATCAGACGTTTGTGATGAGTTCATAACTCATTGCATGATTGTGACAAACTCTTGCTCGAAATGAGTTGCAATGAACTTTGGCCCGAGTAAATTTGTGATGACTTTTAGACATGCACATACTTGTGTTAAGTCTCAGACATGCGTGGACCCACGATGAGTTTTGGATGCGCATGAACCTATGATGAGCTCGAAGCCATCGTAGGCCCATAACAAACGTGGAATTACTGTACAACCGGGAATAAATATTAGATATGTGCACCTTTAAATTACGTGCGTGACGAGATGCCCCATGGGTCTAGTAAAGGCGAGTAATGCAAATAATAACGTCACCCGCACCATGCCAATTTAAAAGGGTCACGAAAGGAAGTAGTATATGTAGATTATAAGAATCCTTAAAAGAAAGGAAACATTGTATTCAAAGGATCTCATTGGACATGGCGAAACCCCAATGATATTCTCTTAATAGCCAGCATAAAGATAAAGATCTCATTTCCTAATATGAAATATCTCCTTTGTATCATTCTTCTTAAAGCCTTGTGTTTCTCTTTATAAAAAGGAAGAACAACTCTTCTCCCAACCTACGGAGACTTGAACAACCTTGGTTACGTTTCTGATCTTCGGAGAAAGTGATGGCAATTATTTTATCATTCGAGACTTCAAAAAAAAGAGAAATCTTTTCATCGAAGGGATTTTAGGGCAGTGCAATTTCACAAGCAACAAGCTTGTCGTTGGAATCCACGGAGCAGCCTATCCGTCGTTCGCTCTAGAGTTATTTGACTAATCTGCCTCTCTGATTCAATCGATTGTTACTCATCCCTATTTTGGATCACCCCTTCCTCTTTCTCCGTTATTGTGGGCTTTCCTCTGTTACCACCGCATAAATCCGTTTCAAAAGAAAGCCCTCACTTTGGGACTTCTATTTCAAAAGAAAACCTTCACACCGCATAAAACCCTTGCTACAATGGGGTATATCCAGCTGTCAACAATCAACTTTTGTTGATCATGTAACAAAGAACGGGTCGAGAAATCAAAGGGGGATCGATAGTCGGGATATTCAAAACTTCCTTGCCCATCACCAATACTTTTAATAGCGACCGCCTAACACCTGCGACACATAAATAAGCACCGATTGAAAATGAGAAGACCAGACTTCTGGTTGACACTTGCGGAAGGGAATGGCATGAAACGAATCGAAAAAAAGGGGAAAGGGATTTTTACTGTAGATCGTCTTCCTCCCTTGGTCATTGAATAGCAGTAGCAGCGGAAGCGAATCCAATCGAATGGAGAGAAGTTCTTCATAGCGACGACCCTCAAAGCAACCTTTCATTGGATCTTTGGTGATTATTTTCACCATTTGTGGACCTCTTCGGCACTTGAACTGCCATCCACAGGCCACAACAAAACAAAGTTTTCCCCTGTATTGTTTGTTAGATAGTTTTGTATGCCCTTAGCTCTAATCAGTTTTGATGTACTTTTGACATTTAGTGTAAATAAATAAAGTACATGTTTGATTCATGTTGTGTGGTATATTTTTGTGTAAGACCCTTAAATCGGACACTTAATGAGACTCATGTTAGTTTAGAATATTCATAGTCGTTGGATAAGTTTGGGGAGATTTATCCTGCCAAGGCTGACACTGGTGTGCTGCCAAGTGTTGGGGTAGCTTGTCCCAGTCGCCAGGGTGAGACCCAAGGCACATGCAGTGTAGGGTTATTTGAATCCTTGAACCAGACCAGATTTCCAGTATTGCCCTAGACCTTGGAGATTGATGGGCAAAACTGGAAAGTTACACCTGACCCCTAGACTCGATTATGATATTGCACTAGGTGTCGGATTGGACTGTCTTTGATATGCCAATCAGTGAGATCCTTAGCGGGGGTCAAAACCT